GTGTTTCGATTATACCCGATATATTTTGACGTTGACATTGTTCTAGGATTTGTCCCTTGTACTAAACTAACCCTTTCACGAAATATCTAGATGAGCCCATAGCCAGCAATTTAACTTCATAAAAACAAGGAACTATTATGAGGTACCCTGCCCGATATAATTTCTGAGTTACCCCTGACTCCGTCAGATACAGAGAAGTCAAGCAAAACTTTGTTGTGTTGTTGACTACATCATCCGAGTCCACTCTCAATCATGATTCCGGCACCGGTGGGGTTCCATTAGATGTGGTATCAGAGGGTCGGTGTATTTCAAGGGTGTTTCGGTTATTTGACTGTTCTCAGTATAGTGGCGAATGTGGTGGGCGGGGGGGGGTGTGGGGGACCATATAGACAGAAGCGTTGACAACACGTTGTTAAAGATGCATTCCACTCGATCAAAATTTATTTTTTTTTTCATGTTTTTATATCTTTAAACATGTTGATTTCAAAATAAATTTTAAAAAATAAAAATATATTATTTTAATATATGTAATTAGTAAATAGAAATTAAATATAGGTAATGTTTGTTTTTTAAACAATTATTTTTAGAAAATTATTTTTTAAATTTTTCTGTGTTTGTTTGTCAATAAAAAAGTTGGTCACCAAAAAACAATTTTCGGTCAATAAAAAATACTTTTTGGTTAATGGAAAACACTTTTCAGTTGAAGAAAACTTGATTTTCAGAAAAATATTTTTTTTACTGTGTTTGTTTTTCAGAAAGTGATTTTTAAGAAATCACTTTCTAAATTTTCTTATATTTTTTTGCTGTTAGGAAAGTTAGTCAACGAAAAATATTTTTTAGTCAAAGAAAAATTTAGCTTGGTTTTCATGAAAGTATTTTTCTGAAAAATTTAGATGGAAAACACTTTCTGAAAATTGTGAAAAAATTAAAAATATCATTATTTACTGATTATATCAAATTTGATCCTCAACTTTGATTGTTTTATGTATATATATATATATATATTGTTTTAAATATTTATTTTTTAATTTCATTTTTAAAAATTTAATTTTTATATTAACTTTAGTCCTTATTTTTATAGTTATTATCTGCTTTTCTCCTATTATTTTTTTATTAAAATTTTTTATTTATTAAATTTGATTCTCATTCTTTTAATTGTCATTTATTTTATTTAAAATACTTTATGAAATATTAATTATTATTATTTTAATTTATTCATTTTTTTTACATTTGATATTTATTATTTTGATTATTATTTATTTTATTTGAGATAATTTATGAAATTATATATTTTTTTAATTTCATTCTTATTTAACTTTTTAATTTGTAAAATTTGTTCTTCATTATTTTAATAAATTTTAAAAAATAAAATATTAATAAATTATTTTTCATAACATAATCAAATATTAGAAAATATTTTTTAGTTTATTTTTTATGATACTATTAAATATAAAAAAAAAATAGCTTTCTTACATAATCATGATATCTACTTACATTTTCAAAGCACAACATCCAAACATTGGCTGGTCCAATCATAAATACGCTTTGCATTAGAGTCATCCTTGTCCTCATGTTCAAACGACCTCACATAAATTCACAACATTTGATTTGACATAAATATGTTAAAGTCCTATCAAACATGGCAATAAACTGTTTTTTTTCTTGAGAGCGTTTTTTATTTTTCAAAAATAATTTATAAAACTTTGGTTTAAATTTCATTTTTTTAAAACAAAATGCAATAATTAAGAATCCTTATTTTGCATTCTAATGGACCACAGCCAGATCTATAATTTCTGTTTTATTAATAATCATGTTAAATTAATCACATGTTTATTTGAAATTTATTTGACATGTATTGAAAATATGTGGTCCAAGTTTTTATTTTTTTATATATGTAACATAAACGTGTATAAAAAAATTAAGATGATTTTCGCAGTAGTTGTTCCATGTATTTCATTGCCCTAATGTCACAGTGAAGATAATATATGCATTTTTCAAATCAATTTAATTTTAAAAAATAAAATATTAAAATATAATTTATATTATTTTCTAATATATCATTTCAAGTTAAACCCCTTTAAATTTTAACCTTGTATAGTCTCATACAACCTAATATTTAATTTTTATCTAATAAATAAAAATAATGATATATAAATTTGTAATTGCTTAACTATTATTATTCTGATATTATATTAAAAAATAATTTAAATTTAAATTTAAAATTTTTAATATATACTTTATATTATTTCGATTTTAATTTTAATTTAAAATTTTTAAATAAATTTTTAATATATACTTTATATTATTTTTCAACTAAAAACTCGATACATTAACACTTCATTTCCATGTTAATTTGTAACCGGGATGCCTTGTTGAGAATGGTAGATGATTTGCGACCGCTTATTTTGACGGCAGGTGATTTTCCTCGCCGGTTACCACAAGTGTAGGAAAGTCCACCATGTTTCACTCAACCACGACCGCAATAAGTAATCCCCTTGAAAAACTGGATTATAGATGTATTAAGTCAATCTACTTTTTTAATCTTTTTTTAAATAGTGTAGTTTTTTTCTAATTAAAAAAAATCTATAATGATATTTTTTATAAAAATTAAAAATATATATCTAGAATTGATCTAATTAATTTTTTAAGTTTAGATAGATTTAACCGGGTAAATTACTACCTAGATTTTATCAGATTAATTTTTAAATTAATTTAAAATAAAATTTGATTTGAATTAAGTTTAAAGTAACCAAATCATTCCGTCAAAATGGATATAATTTTATACTATGTCACAAAATACAAAGCAATTAACTGAGAGGGTGGGACAGATTGAGAAGTTTCCATGTCTTCCCTTGTTGTCAACGCCAACCAATTTGTAAGTTCCTTGTTCATTGAATAGGAATTGTCATTGTCAAAATAAATAAAAAAATCGGCATTTAAATTTAAACATAAAACACACATTTAATATTAAAAAAATACAAATACATATTAAATCCAGTGGTTTCTATAAAATTAATGTTGGTTGAATTTTGTTCATTTAGATTTTTATCTGAGTAAATTAAAAAATAAAATTATATTTTCGTAAGCAAATTGACAACAACATGTGAATCCGCTAACTAATTCGACAGTCAAAACGGGTGGAATTCAATGACAGGAGTGTTCATGAAAACTTGAGGTTGAAATTTAAAAATATTCAAACGATGTCAATGAAGGAAAAAAAAAAAAAACTTGAGGTGGAATTGAATTTACCCCAAGAAGCATTATTTCCTTCCATCCATACAGGATCATTCTTACAAATAATTACATGTTTTTATAAAGAATCATCATGTTCGTGAATCAAACGAACTTAAAAATCCTTCCATCTAATGGAAGTTCTCTCATTTCTTGACCATCTTTTTGTTCATGGAAGGTTTGTCTGGCATTGAAAATCAGAGGCAGAGTGAGAAGACAAAGTGGTCCTGTTGGTGTCCCAATTAAAGCCACCGGCATAACCCAATTCTTGAGAAAATCTGACGATGAAGTCGAGCCCAGCTGCTTAATCCGACCTCCCGTCTCTGAATCCAACTACGTACTGAGAAAAGGCACTTGGACACGGGGGTCTTGTTCCCTGAACTTGCTTAAACAGAAAAAAACACCGTATAAAATTTACGTATTATATTATCAATCGATACTTGTCGTTTCAACACTCCAATGGCCGGCAGTCCTTTAATTTGCTTGGACATGACACATTCGATGGTATGTATGTGTTTGTGTATTAAAAAGTGTATAAAACGCACATGATAAAGAAAAAAGTGTATAAAACATACGTAAAAGAAGCATGATTAATGAGCAAGCTATTCTTATACGAATTGTCACCTGCCCTTTAATCCACAGACTTATTTTAGATTCGTTACAGGGTTAGATATCAAGCAATTAATGCAGATAAATACGCAAATAATAATAATAGTAAAGCATTTGTCGACACACCCTAACTATCCATAAATCACTTGTATTAACTATGCATAATTATATTTATGTTACATTAATTGTTCTTTATCATATTAAATATGCGGAGAGGACCGGCAGGCCCGGCCCTGAAAAGAAGAAAAGCCATTAATATTATTATGTCCCTATAAAAAAACATTGAAGTTTTAGAGTCAAAACTAGAAAAAATAAACTTTCAAATCTTAGCCCCTAGCTTCGGCCCTCGGGACAATGACATTCCTTGTAATTTTAGTAATAATACATTGTTTCTGCAACGAGAACACTGTAAAACGAGGATATTATTACAACTTAGACAAGAATTATAATAGCATCTTGATTATAAATATACAAAGAGCAAAGGTAAATCCACCACGCTAAGAGCATCTCCAATCCAAAATGTTATTTTAAAAAGTTAAATTAATAAAATAATATTTTGAATAGTATAAATATAACTTATTTTACTATATTTATTCCGATAAAAAAAGCCATTTAAAGAACTATTTATATTAGAATAAAAAAAATAAATATTTTATTATTTCTTAGTATGTTTAATGTTATTTTTTTTCACATGTCTTTATTTAATTGGTCTACTTTTTTAGTGGTCACACTTTGTTGGTTTTGGTTTTTTAAAGAGATATGTAGAAATAACATTTGTGAAAAAAAAAAACATTTTAGTATTTTATTTGGCTTTTCCTTTGAATTGTATAAAACAAACAATAAAAAACTAAAATATTAATATTTTATTTTTAGCTATTCATTTATCTTCTCTATATTGGAGATATTATAAGGGTGTGAAAATAATATCTTTGAATAACGATAAATTAAAAAAGAAAAGAAGAAGAAGGTGGTGTGGTCACATGCCAATAAGGCAAAGACCACCAGTTTGAGAAACGAGACGGTGGTGGTTGGCAGAGAATCCAAAATGTGACTTGATGGCTAAGTTCCGCCCCACACAGCAATCCCTCTTTGTCTCCCTTTCCATCCATATAAAAACCCCTACACAATTCTATAATTTTCATTATTGCTTTCTTGTTCTCTCTGCCACAAACTCAGTTCCTGACAAAACCGAGAAAAATAACCGAGCAAAATGTCAGACTGGGGTCCAGTGTTTATGGCTGTGGTGCTGTTTATTCTGCTAACTCCAGGGCTTTTGTTTCAGGTACCAGGGCGACATCGGTACGTTGAGTTTGGCAATTTCCAGACAAGTGGCGCATCAATTATGGTTCACACTCTTCTCTATTTTGCTCTCATTTGCGTTTCCTTGCTGGCTGTTAAGGTTCACTTGTACCTTGGTTAGCACGTAGTGCTCCTGGGTAATGCAATTGACTTGCCCCCAGCAAGTAGAAAAACAAGATTAAGTGTAATAAATCGTAGATGTTTTGTGGGGTTTGCTTTTCTGTCAAATGCAAGTTATATCAAATATGATGATTTTACATTTTAGAGAGGGTTTGATTGATTGTTATATGTGTAACGTAATGATCATAGCTCTTGCTTGCTTTGTTACTTCAAGAATTTGTGATGCGTGACCTCAATTAGTATCTTAATTATTCTTCAAAGAAAAAAAATGTAGTAAATGGCAATGGAATTACTATAACTCGATTGTCATTAGTACTGGCAAGAATTTGAGCTTCCAGCTGCCAGTGCTATAAACACAGGTTGAGTAGGCACAGTATCCTGATTTCTTTTGTGGCTAGGCTGACATGGAAACATTTTACCAGTGAGAGACCGAGAGTATTGATCTATTAAAGGCTTTAGCGTGCTGGGTCATCATATTCTTTTATTGGCAACAGATACACCTTACTAAGCCAGAGCACTGATTCTTGCTCGGCACTTCGTCACCTCACGCTGCTACATTAGCATCTAAAATGTAAGCGGGTGGTTGTGGTGGTAAGAAATCCATTGCGCATGCCTAACATTACTCAAGAGAAAAAGGGAAAGGAAGAAAAACCAAACCTGCTGAATACTAAGTTATTATGTGGTGTTGTCATGAACTGTTAAGAGTGGTATCATCACCCCCCTCAAACATGATATTGTCTTTCTGTGTTTAGTAGCAGAGTATACCATGGATCGGACGCCTAGGGTATGTATAATCACTTGCAATACAAGACAGTGTCAGTGACATTGCAAAATTTACCTGAATTCAAACAAGCAAAGTATTAATATTCCAACTTCCAACTAGCCACTTAAGTTTTCCTGAGAAAATCATGGTACAGCGCATTGTAAGCTGACGTGTATGGATGCCAATGTGGAGGGAAGAGCTCCCTGAGATGATTCCAAGGCACCGAGGATGGTCGCCATTAGAGCTTAAAAGAGATCGCATGTGCTGCTATAGTGCGACGACCTTCTTCATATGCCAGACACCTTTTCCATTACATTTAATCTAGTTCATGATTCTCTAATATTTTTTTTATTTAGATTTTAATTCTTTAATAACTGTTATATTTTTTTCAGTCCTGGTTTAGTTTTGTCCATTATTCTTGACCACTCTTTAATTTGATTCCAAATTTTATCCCACCTTAACCCAATAAAAACTTAATTAGGGAGAGATGACGACACAAGAAAAAAATGTTCCAGCACGCCTGAAGTGTAGCGCGGTCGAACACAATAGGAGGGCAGAAATATACTTGCACCTCAAATATAATACTTTTGTGCTCATGTTTAACTATCAGATTTACACATTTCAAAATACTATCATCAATTGTAGATAAAAAAATCAGGCGTCCAAACACCTTGAAACATATTATAGGCAAAGGAATGGGTTAGAAGGTTTAAAGTTTGATCAATTTAGTTAGTATAATGATAATATCAAATAATTCTTTTAATAATAATATTAAATAATTCTTTATAATTTTAATTTTTATTAAAAAAATTAATTTGATTTACAGCGCAACATTGAAAGTTATCTAAGTATATTAAAAAAAGCAAGAAGCTAAATCTCAGGTCTACAGGTTGAATTTATTTAACATGATAAAATAAAATAAAAAATTATATTTAGAGTTTTAATATCTTATAAAAAAAATTAAAAAATAATTTATATAAATGTAAACTGTAAAAAAGAAATGTAAGGCATCAAATATAGTATATTTATCCCACATTAATAAGTTAAAAAATAATTTATATAGATGTAGGCTATATATAGTTATTTTATATTAAAAAGTTAAAAAATAATTTATGTAGATGTAAGCTATAAAAAATTATGAGGCTGAGTATTTATAAATTAATTTTTTTATTTTTTAAATTTATTCATTATGAGGCTCAGTATTTATAAATTAATTTTTTTTATTTTTTAAATTTATTTAAAAAAATTCAGATTTCACATGAGTTATACTGGATCACCTCAATCCGATTAGGCTAATGACAACTCTGAGTTCTTATGATTTGAAACATGATTAAGATCTCAGGATCCTAGTCCCAAATCAACTTATCCCACTAAGCTGGGTTTTTATCTATGTTCTTAGTGTCATAAATGTTTTTTTTAAATGAATTTCAAAAAAAAAAACAAGAATCCACGGAAAACAAGAATTCTAAAGAAAGATTTTTTTGTAGAAATTTATTTACTCATCGATTTCAGAAAATTTAACAACGATATCACCCACTTGGACATTTCTTCATTTCCTAAAGATTTCACTAAGCACAAGTAAATTGTAAAGTAACTGATTATAAATTTTCAATAACTGATTTTGAACCCGAACCAAATCCGACACGAGTTGGTTTGTTCTATTAAAATTGTTTAGAACTAAGTAAGTCTCTCCCCATGGTTCTACGTTGCAAATCAAATCTTTTTTTTAATAAAAAAACCAACGAATAAAAAAATAAATGATAAAAAACAATTTAAGTGGTTTAAAATTAACCTAGATAATCATGGTTTGAATTAAAAAAAGAAGATAAAATAATATTTTTTTAAAAAAAATATTAATTTGAATTAAAAAAAAATATTTTTTTAAAAAAAATATTATAATAGTAACATAATTTATTGACTCAGGTTCACTCAATTTTACTTGACATAATATATTGACTCAGGTTCACTCAATTTTACTTGTTAAACTCACTAGTTATATATCGTTGATAACACTATAAAAAGTAAATTATAGTAAATTAATCCTAAAAAAAACCTAGAACATAATACAAAAATCAATTCAAAATAAATTGAATACTTTAATTTTTTTTTAATATGGAATCTTGGTTTAAAAATTATTAAGATATTAACATTGAATCGACTTGGGCTTCAAAACTTAACTCATAACTCAAGTTATGGATTTTATTAAATTTAATAATTTTAATTTTTTAAACCATAATTTACTAATTTTATGATAACAAAATTAATAAAAAAATTAAAGGGTAAAATTAAAAAGAAAAAACTTCTAGGACAATAAAAAAACCCATGTGTGGGGTTTCCAAGCCCATGCTTCCAGGTTTTTTTCTTTCTTTCTTGCAAATAAATTGTTGTCCACCCCTATTTTTTTAAAATAAATAAAATTAGATAACTATTGAGGTGAGGGAAATGAGAGAACAATCACATGATCTCGTTTTAAATAAAACAAGACAACGTATTGTTTACCTTTACCAAGAATTCAACCACTATTGTGGTGGTTGAGAAATGAGGGCTGTGATTTATTTGTTAAAAAATTTGAATTTTGTCACTTATTTTGACCCTAAAATACTTAGTTAATACCTTTATAAATAATAACCAATCAAATAACTCATAAAACACCAAAACCAATTAAAAATACAAAATCAAATTGGGAAGTTTTTTTTTCTCCACCTAATCTATTTTTTTTTTGGCAAATGAGGGCCCAAAACAACCATAATCAAACTCTTATAATTAAATAAAATCAGTTGACACCAAGAATAAGGGTTTCATCATTAAAAGATGAAGAAATCAATATTTTCTTTATATTCTCATTATTTTATGGTAAGTTTTTTTTTCATCTTTCTAATTCAAGAATTGAAAAATAAATAAAATAAAATTTAAAATCAAAACCAAAATTATCATGAATTTAAAAGTAACATGTATTTTCTCCAGATCTTACTTTTCAATTCTCTGTATTTTAATTTTATGTTATCTCTATAATTTCAAGCATAATTCCATTTAATTAGACATGAGTTGAGGCAAATGAAATTACCCGACCAGTTGTCCCCTGAACATGGGCTTTGTCATGCTCCAGAGTGCATGGAGCTAAGTACTGCCCGAAAACAAAAAACTTGATGATGGAAGCCGCGACTGAGCTGCTTTTGGTAGTGGTAAAAGCATAAACGTTTTGGGAACACCTCGAAAATTCACCGAAAGCTTGTGTTATGTGTAGTGCATTGACGTGCGTAGAACCATTCAAGTCTCTGAAGAAAGAAATTTTCGTTATGAAAAACGGAAAAACAGGGGAGGAAAACTAAATTAACATGATCAATCAAGTCTGAAAAATCACTGGAGCTGGTGACCCTGCTGGATAACAGGGAAAAAGCTGGACCTACTGGTATGAAAGTTAATTTTTCTTTTGCAACAAATGTGATTATTTTTGTTGTTGGTTGTGATTTTTTTTTTTGTGTTGTTGGATTTATTTTGTCGATATCTTTTCAATGCTAAAAGTGGCGTCATAATCGGAGTTTTGGTGTGCCTTTGAGTCTTTTTTTTTCCCTATCTCCTCTCTTCTCATAAATTACAATAAGAAAAGAGAGGAGAGAAATATATATATATATATATATATAAAAGCATATTGAAGCTCTAATTATGATATCATTTATATCATCAGAAAAAAATATTAATGAAAAGAATCTAACAACATCAAAAAAAATCACTAACAATAATAGGACGGGTCACACTTGCCACCAAAAGCAAGTAAGCTATCTGTTATATTAAAGCTCTAATTATGATATCATTTATACCATCAGAAAAAAATATTAATGAAAAGAATCTAACAACATGAAAAAAAATCACTAACAATAATAGGACGGGTCACACTTGCCACCAAAAGCAAGTAAGCTATCTGTTATTTTTGGGGGCAAGTGTGACCCATTCATATCATTGCTAATGATTTTTTTTCATGAGATTCATCTCGTTGAGATCTTTATGTGATACTAATGATGTTATAATTGAAGATTTAAGTTATCTGTTATTTTTGGGGGCAAGTGTGACCCATTCATATCATTGCTAATGATTTTTTTTCATGAGATTCATCTCGTTGAGATCTTTATGTGGTACTAGTGATGTTATAATTGAAGATTTAGTGTACCTTCATGGTCTTTTTATTTATTTATTTATTTTTTCTCTATCCTCTCTCCATTATTTATGTAATCTTTTTTATAATTTCTTTGAAATGTCACGCTTCTAAATACCAACAAGTTTGAATATCATGTTTTCTAATCACGACAGGTACAAATTATGCTATTTCACTAATTTTTTTTAAATTTTATTATTATTTGTTATCTTTGGGGGCAAGTGTGACCCATTCATATCATTGGTAATGATCTTTTTTCATAAGATTTATCTCGTTGAAATCTTTATGTGGTAT